GTATCGATCGCACCGAGCTGTGATTAGGCCTGGGGTTCGGTGGTCACCCTCGTGAATGGGACCGTCGGGATGTGGGATCGAGGGACGGGTTGTGTGTAAATTAAGAGAGGGCGGAGTTCAAATGGAGGATGCAGAGAGAAGGAGTGTGGAGTGCACACTTGTTACTTTTTTTCTGGACGACGAGTCTTCGCACAGCCGACAGTAGTCGCAGGCTCACTGGGTAGGTTCCTGAGGGCACCAAAGTGGTCGAGGATAGATTGTGGTATCATTTCGGTCTGGTTGAGAACTGAGGTGATTGTTACTCGTCTGCTGTCTGTCCCCCTCGCTCTTCCCTATCCCACCAACCCACACCCTTACGGCATACCTGGTTTGGCACAACATACACGATGATGACCAGCTTCTGTTTCATCCTTGTTAAGCGTAGCCTGGGCCGGCGAAAACCTGGCATATCTATTGCTCCGTCCCGGCATTGTAGGGATGCGAGATCGATGGTCTAATGATGCGTTTCCATGTGTACCCCCCCTGCCCCTCACGCCCCCCCCCCCCCCCCCCCCCGAAGACGTAACCCCCCTCCTCGACTTATCCGGAGACAAGTTTCTCGCCAACACGCCGCCGCTGCTGCCCAGGTTCGGCGTCTTCGACAAGGCGGATCCGGCGGGCATTTTTAGAGGGGCTCGGTGGTAACCCCCCCCCCCGTCTGCTACCGCCGCCGTTCTCCCCCGCGAGCCCCCCCCCGTGGCGGCGGCGGCGGCGGCGGCGGGTTGGGGCGGGGGCGGCGGCAAGGCTGTTGTCGTCGGCGCCGAGCTCCGGTGCATCGGGTTGACATCAGCCTGAGGATCATGTTGTTATTGCGCCGCGCCAGTGTGCACGTCGTACGACGAGGAAGAAGAGAGCCATGGCGTGTTATCGTACAGCGACAAATGTGCGCGTCGCGGGAGGAAGGAGGAAGGGGGATTGTTGTGTCGTACGCGTCGCGGGGCGGGAACGGGCAGAGGGAACGACCATCACGAGGAAAGAATAAACGGGGGAGGAATAAGGAGGCATCAGCCAAGACAATAAATGCACAATCGGGAAATGGCACCAAACACCACGGTGGTTCTGCTCATGTCGGCTGCGAGAGCTCGGGGGCAAGGCAATATAGCCTCGGATCAAAGATTCACTCACGCAACGGTGGAAGACAACAAAAATGGTGTTGGCGGTTCGAAACGTGCGTTCACATGCGCGATCAAGGCCCCGGGAAATCCGCATATGCAACACGATGAAAGCGGCCTCTATGTGCCAGTACAGCTACCGTCTTCTCCTGGCTATTCCATGCCTCGTGTTCTGGGAGGGGGGGGGGGGGGGGGGTAGGGGGGGGGCAAGAACTTTCAGTTCTGGCGGGGAACCCAGACCCCCCCCCCCCCCCCTAGGAAGGGCATTTCAAAGCGGGGCCCCTCCCCCC